CGGATCACATTTTCAAGTCCGTTTTGTGTGGCAGGTGTGGGACGATCAATTATCACCCTCTTTTAAATATATAAGATTTTAAAGCTTTTGGAGGGTGGGAATCATAACATGCCTGTCTCCATCCTCTTTGTCTGCACTGCTACACATGTGCCGTGACGCAGGGTACAAAAGGCTTTTTTAGTGGGAATTGCCGCGTCATTTGCTGATTTTTGCACCTGCTTCAGCTTGGTCATGCTTGGTCATTACTCCACATAACATGTCTGTCTCCATCCTCTTTGTCTGCACTGCTACACATGTGCCACATGTGCTGTGACGCAGGGTAGGACAAAAGTTGCACTTGTTGAGCTACCCACAGTAAACATGTTTGGTTTCTTCTTCTGCACACCCTTTCCCCGTAGAATCCTAGCATGGAGCTTTGTCGTACCCCGGTCGTAATGACCAAGCTGAAGCAGGTGCAAAAATCAGCAAATGACTTGGCAATCCCCACTCAATAAGCTTTTTGTACCCTGCGTCACGGCACATGTGTAGCAGTGCAGACAAAGAGGATGGAGACAGGCAGGTTATGTGGAGTAATGACCAAGTGAAAGCAGGTGCAAAATCCAGCAACTGACTTGGCAATCCCCACTCAATAAGCTTTTTGTACCCTGCGTCACGGCACATGTGTAGCAGTGCAGACAAAGAGGATGGAGACAGGCATGTTATGTGGAGTAATGACCAAGCTGAAGCAGGTGCAAAAATCAGCAAATGACTTGGCAATCCCCACTCAATAAGCTTTTTGTACCCTGCGTCACGGCACATGTGTAGCAGTGCAGACAAAGAGGATGGAGACAGACATGTTATGTGGAGTAATGACCAAGCTGAAGCAGGTGCAAAAATCAGCAAATGACGTGGCAATTCCCACTAAATAAGCTTTTTGTACCCTTCAGGAGGAGCAAAGTTTATGCTTCTTGGAAGCTTTACAAAACATCCATTTCGGTCAACCGCGGATCACATTTTCAAGTCCGTTTTGTGTGGCAGGTGTGGGACGGTCAATTATCACCCTCTTTTAAATATATAAGATTTTAAAGCTTTTGGAGGGTGGGAATGCGACCGGGGTACGACAAAGCTCCATGCTAGGATTCTACGGGGAAAGGGTGTGCAGAAGAAGAAACCAACCATGTTCACTGTGGGAAGCTCAACAAGCGCAACTTTTGTCCTACCAGTGCGTCACGGCACATGTGTAGCAGTGCAGACAAAGAGGATGGAGACAGGCATGTTATGTGGAGTAATGACCAAGCTGAAGCAGGTGCAAAAATCAGCAAATGACTTGGCAATCCCCACTCAATAAGCTTTTTGTACCCTTCAGGAGGAACAAAGTTTATGCTTCTTGAAAGCTTTACAAAACATCCATTTCGGTCAACCGCGGATCACATTTTCAAGTCCGTTTGTGTGGCAGGTGTGGGACGGTCAATTATCACCCTCTTTTAAATATATAAGATTTTAAAGCTTTTGGAGGGTGGGAATGCGACCGGGGTACGACAAAGCTCCATGCTAGGATTCTACGGGGAAAGGGTGTGCAGAAGAAGAAACCAACCATGTTCACTGTGGGAAGCTCAACAAGCGCAACTTTTGTCCTACCAGTGTATCATGTGCATTTATGTATCACGCATATATCATATATCTTGTATATATCATGTATATGTCATTTATCAGGTATATTTCATGTATATATATATATCATGTATATGATGTATCTCTGTGCGTCTATATATTTGGATATAGAGCGGGAACATTTTAAAAAAAAACAAATTGTCCCAGTGGCCAACATGAAAGCAAACCACCAATGGGAAGAAAGACTCAAATTCTGCCAGTAAACAATCGGAAAACCGCCAGGAAGGACGATCGGAAAGCCCCAGTCCGGAAAAACCAATGGGCCCAAGTCTTTCCCGTCACTCCTCCGCTCCAACAGAAAAACGCTTCACAAAGAGCGCAAAGGGCAAATTCAAAGGGTCATCACCTGAGATTTCCAGCAGCACCATGGAAGCCCCCAAAATAACCAGAACATCTGTGGTTTGAAAATCCTGTACCTCCAAATCCATTCAATTCATCCAATTCTCATTTTCCCTATGAAAATAGCCATAGTCAGGCAGGCAACTCTCCCCCAAAATCCAATCTTCAACGACCTTGAAAGGCAGCGAACCTGTAATCGCCTGGCGAGAACGTAAGTGAGAAGCAAGGCTTGGAAGATGACATGCTTCTTACATAGATACATATTATATGGAAAGATGTATGTAATATATCAAACAGACATGTAATGTACATATAAATATGTATATATCAATATATGCACATATAATAGTTGTATGCGAATATATATATATATGGATATATATATATGGATATATATATATATATGGATATGGTCCCGTGTCCCGTGTTCCCACCCCCCATGAGATGGGTCCCCAGGTAGCCCTCCCTTCCCGTCTACTTGCAAGCTATTGGCAGCATTTCTGATGTCCAGCCTCGTATTTGCTAGGTCTTTGCGGCATTTCTGACTACCAGCCTCGCATTTACTAGGCACATGCTACCTTTTAGACGACCTACGTAGCACACACACTGCCTCAAAGTACCTACGTGCTACCTATAGTCATAAATACATATGCTATGTATCTACTTCCTATTTACTACATATATATCTATATACATATATATATACATATATATATTTATATATACACATATACATATTAATATTTACACACATGCATACATTTTTATTTATATATAATTATACACACACATGTTTTTATATACATATATATATATATACATTTAAACATATATATATATATAAAAAAAAGTAGGTACATATATATATATGGTCCAGCGTTCCAACCGCCCCCCGACACTACCATACCCCCACCACACCGGAGGGGGGAGGGGGACTGTTATATGCATACAGACATACATACATACATACAGACATACATACATACATATCTACCTACCTACCTGCCTACCTACGTAGCTACGTACGGACGTACGGACGTACGGACGTACGGACGTACGGACGTACGGACGTACGTATGTACGTATGTACGTACGTACGTACGTACGTACGTACCTACCTACCTACCTCCATCCATCCATCCATCCATTGTAAACTTTCAAGGGCATTGTTCACTGCAATTGTTCAGTCTGTCAACTTCAATCGCTTTCCTCTGCTCCAATTGGAGCTGAGCTCAAGGCGCCTGCATTGTACACATGCACTGCGATAACAACAATCAGCCACAGCAATCACCGATAACAATATTGTAAAACGGTATAATTTTACACCGTCCCTTGTTGTTAGCCATTGCTGGCTCACAACATGATCATACATTGTCTAAACAGCAATTGTTTTCAACCAAAACCGACATTATATTGTCACACGGATTGATGACTTCCACTGGGCTTGTGAGAATCTGTACACTTTAATTGTCCAAGCTTGTCAACGTTTCAAAAAACAATTGTCTCCTCTCTCAGGTGGGACTTGTTGGATCATCGTCTCAAGGATCGAAGTTCATTGTCCTGGGCTTCTTGTTGTCTGGCTCCACTACGCTGGCTGTCGATGAAATTGTGCCTCCATCCGCAGACATTGAGGCCATTTGTTCAACCATCTGTTCATCTTCATCCTGTTGCCACCAGATTGTAGGACAGATACATGGTCCTCATTGCGCTGCATTCCCAGGTTGTAGGACGGTACGCCTGGGGCGCATGCACCTGGAGGGTTTGTGGGTGGACATTGAGGGTGTCAAGTAGTTGTCCGTCATACTTGTCTGGGCAGATTTGTCTTCTGATTGTTCTCACCCTGATGATTTTGCCTGGAATGCCAATGAATGGTTCACCAGTCATTGTGTCACGGCCAAGCCAGATTTCTTTGAAGAATCGTGGCTCCAACTTGGGTTGTGCCCTCAAGGTAGGGATCATGTATCGTACCGTTTCTGCCATTTCACATAGTGGTGCCTTGTGGTCTTCGCCCCAACGTCTTTGAAAGCTTGTTTGACAATCACTGTGTACTGCATATCTATTGAGTAGATATGCAGCATGTCTGATCATCCAAGGCACTATCGGATGTTGATTGCTGATTGTCAGTTTGTAGCTGGTGGTTACCTGTTGTATCAAAGCCCTGACTTGTCCAATCAGTGTCCTGTGAAATCGCTCAATGCTGCCTTGTGATTGTGAAGAGTAGGCCGGTGATTGTCTCACTGAGACGTTGTTTCCCACTGATGATGCTATTGCTTTGAGGAGTCCCAGCAGGAAGTTCTCTTGGTCAGTTTGTAGGATTGTTGGGCTCAGTGTGGCTTGTGCTCTTCCACATTCAAAGAGGAAGGTTTGTGCGCATTTGACAAATAGTTAAACTGCTTATGCTTGACTTGCACAAATACTTCCAGTGTCATATTTGTCTCAACTTAAATTGCTGTGAGAACAGGTAGTACTTGTTTGTCATTAAATGCTTTGATGTAGCAAAACACCATTTGTATCACCGCTTGTTTGCTGTGCTGTCTTGGGTGGTTGTCTGCTCTTCCTTTGCTTTTGACACAGATTGCACACCAATTGCGGTATGGCAAATGTGTCAATTCAGGTTCTTTGCGTTCTTGTTCTGTCGGTTGTTTTGGAGCTCTCACTCCCTTTGCCTTATTGGCTGCTTGTACCGTGTCATCTTCATCGTCTGACTCGGGCTCATATTTGTAAGCTGGTTGTTCCTCAAAGTTGATTGAGCCTGTCCACTGCGTCCAGGGATCTATTGCCATCTTTGCGCCAATCATCGTTGATTGTGAACTTCCTTTGTTGTTGGTCCAAGGGGTGTATGATGCTGAACCTCATTGATATCAGCTTTGTAACATCTGGTCCATCATCGGTTTGTTGTGGCACGTATAGTTCTTGTTTTGTCTGGATGTGGGCTCTTTTCCAGAATGTCCTTCTCTCACCCAGTAATCGTCATTGTGTGACATAGCCAAAGGGTGCGGAACTGCTGTGGATTGCTGTGGTGGTACAGGCATCTTGGTTGTGTGCCTGAAGTGTGGAACAGGAGGTTGCTCGCGTTTTCGCTTCTGCTGTTGTGTTTGTCGTCGTTGAATTGCCTCAGGCTGCCGCTTGTGTATCGTTGTGGTGGCTTGTGCTGGTGCTTTGCTGGTTTGTGCTGATGCTGTGCTGGCTTGTGCTGATGCTGTGCTGGACTTGTCTCTTTCGTCTTGTTGACCCTGAACCATGACTCTCCTGTCCAGGCTTGTCCTTGTAGTACTCTCTTCTGCTTGTTCTTTTCCATTGTCTGGAATTGTTCTGTGAAGTCTTCATTGTTGCCATCTGGTCTTCTGATAATTGTTCTCCGGTAGTTGGCCGATTGTTCCAGTGGAACTGGGCAGTTGAGTTGTGGCACAAATAGTGCTTTCCTTTTGTTCCTGTGGCATCTCACCAAGTATCCTTCATTGTTGCATGCCCAGTAGTCATTGTTTCCTCCTAGGACTTGTTGTGGTCCTGTCTTAGCCAACGTTGTTGGAGCAATCATTGCTACCATTCCGTCTGTTGCTTGTTGAACCTGTAGGTGCTGATTGTGGCCAGGGGCCATGATCGTGGCTGGCAAGTAGTAGAGGTTGTTCTCCTGCACGAGCTTCACGTCAAAGCCTTTGTTGTGGCGCATTGTTGGCATCATTGAACCTGATGTCGAAGCCTTGTTCTGCCAGCCTTGTCACTGACAAAATTGGGTCGTGAACATCGCACGCATAAAAGGGAATAACTATTGGTTGTTGTGACTTCATGTACACGCATCTCACTCCATGGATGTAGATTGGCTCGTTTGTTGCTGTTCTCAATTGTGGTCCTTGTCCTGGCTCCAGTGGGTGAATTGGATAGTTGTCCGCAAACCATAGTGGGCAGGCATGTGTGGCTGCACCACTATCAATCATAATGTTGGTGGTCTGGATTGTTTGTCTTGTGACTGCAATGGGTTGTTGCTGGCTTGCGTTAATAGAGTTGGCATTGTTCATGCTGATCGCTGCCACGATGTGGATCGCTGGTGGTTGTTTTTGCGCTCCTGCTGGCACTGGCGGTAAAGCCAATTGATGTTGCTGCTGAACTTGTGGCTGTTGATAGTTTGTGAAATCCTGGTAGTGCCAATTGGGATCATAGTAGTCGTGTTGTCCGTACCATTGTGCCGTTGCATCATTGTAGCCTTGCTGCTGGTAGCTTGGCTGCTGATTGTTGGCTTCACTGATGTTGTGGACTGCCACCCTGCAGTCTCGCGCATAGTGACCGGATTGTCCGCATCGGTAGCATGTGCTGGCAACTTGTTTGCCTTTTACCTTTCCTTTGCCTTTTCCTTTGTGGTAGTTGTGGCTTCCTTTGAACTGAAGATATTGCTGTCCTTTTCCTGAAAAGGGATTGCCTTGTCCAACTGGATTGTATTTTCCTCCTTTTCCTTTTCCTTTGTGGCTGTTGTATCCATAGTTGTTGTATCCTCCGTAGCATTTTCCTTTGTCCTTTCCTTCTCCTTCGTGCTTTCCTTGTACTTCCCTGTACCTTTGTGGATTGCATCAATGTCCATGGGCGCTTGTCCTCCTCCATAGTGTGGGGCATTGCTTGATGTTTGTGCCATCTTTGAGCGTTGTTGACCGGTAGTATTCAAGGATTGTGGCTTTTGTAACTGCATATGCGGGATTTTGTCCTGATAGTAGTTGTAAGTGGCGTTGTAGTGGTCCAGTTGTCTCATTGAGTAGTACTGCTTGTCAATTGTCTCTTTCAAACTTTGATACTTCATACTCCCATTGTGCAAAGGATTCCTCGAAGTTGTTGTTGTCAAACTTGGGCTTGAGTAGTTTTGTGAGGTAGCCAATTGATCTTGTTCCCAACGGAATGGAGAATCTTGTACAGAGTTGTCTGTGCATCTCAAACCCAGTGGCTAGCTGGAATTGTAAATTGTGGCTGCTGAACTTGTCGTGATGCTGATGAGTAGGAATTTCAGGTCTGTTGCTAGTTGTACCTGTTTCTCATCTTGTTCAATTGTGTCTGCTGCACCTCGTAGTAGTGCATCGGTGAGTTCATTTTGTGCTGTTGCTGCTGCTTCCAAGAGTTGTGGGTAGTCATTGTCAATTAAGCCCATGTATGCTGTGAACTTATATTTCCACTCTTCAAATGTTCCGTAGTCTCCGTTGTAGGTTGGTGGCTTGAGCTTGTATCTGCTGATGTTGTGTAGGTCCTCTTGTTGAGGAGCTGCTAGTGCTGCAGCTGCTGCATCCGCTGCCATGTTGTCGTGTAGGGCTGTGTTGTTCCTGAGCTACCTGACTTATTGTCAGGGTCAAGGCTCTGTCCTGTTGTGCTTGTTGCTTGTTGGTTTTGTTTAGGAGCTCACCTGGATTGTTGCCAGAATCACTGCTCCGCTACCATGTAGAGTTTCAAGGGTATTGTTCACTGCAATTGTCCAGTCTGTCAGCTTCAATTGCTTTCCTCTGCTCCAATTGTATCTGAGCTCAAGGCGCCTGCATTTTACACATGCATTGTGATAACAACACTCAGCCAAAGCAGTTATTGTTCACTGATAACAGTATTGTAGAAGGGTATAGTTTTGCACATCCATCCATCCATCCATCCATCAATCCATCCATACATACATACCACCCATCACCAACATCCCAAACACCCCACCACCACAGGCCACAGGGGGGGTAACCATAAGAAGCAAGACTGAACACCCATCCCCTTTGGGGGTGGGGGGCTTGGCCGACGCTGCACCATATATATATAAATAAACATGTGGAGTACATAGATATATGCAAATACACGAAAAAAAAAACACGTACCGTGATCATCGGTATTATAATTAATTCATCAATTCATCTTCCACGTAGGGCAAGACTGTGGACTATCTGATGACTAGCTCTGAAAACTGTCCAGCCATATGTTTTCGGGTACCTTGCTCTTCACTTGAAACTGGTAGTTCCACAGGATGGTGCCCCATAGTTTGCTAAGTTGGTGCAAATAACTTCCACAACTATGATTCTTGTTGGTGATATATCGAACTAGTATTCCAATTTCATCCAATTTCACTATGGTTTTTGTTGGTGATATATCGAACTAGTATTCCAATTTCATCCAATTTCACTATGGTTTTTGTTGGTGATATATCGAACTAGTATTCCAATTTCATCCAATTTCACAAAATGGCTTTTGTTGGTGATATATCTATATATAGTATTCTAGTATTCATGGGCTTTTTTTACCAACAAAAAAAGCACCGGGGGTTTCCCCACCACCTTGCAACGTTCTCCCCAGCACGGTGCGGGCACCGCCTCCCCAGCTCTTTGGTGATGAAAGTCACTGATGCGGCGGTAGAGGCGCCGCGCCAGATGTTCTGTCCGGGCATGGGATGGGATCGCATCTTTAATGGTCAGTAGACCAAACCTGAAAAGCCAACGATCGGTGATGATGGGGTGATGGGTTTAGAGGAATGTTTGAGATGCTTACGAAATGGAGATCTAGAAGCAAAGAATGCAGACTAATGAGCTCTGTTGCAAAATCCTCAACCTGGAAGTTCACTTTGTCTATTGATGTCTATTGAATGCCGCTGGCTTGTTAGAACAAGACTATCGGCTAACCTCACATCATGACGCCACAACCAATATCAAGTGCAAAGTAGCTCAATGGTTCATGTCAGCCGAAATCCGATGAAAACACCATGGGAATAGATCTATCATGATCCAACTCAACCACAAGAAACCACAAGTCAGATTGCAATGCTCAAATAGTGTGAACCGTCGCAGCTAAGAAGCATGGCGCCCATGCCACGAAGCAGGGCTTGAATCATCTCCACAAACTCATTCTCGTCGAAGCATCTGTCATCGTTTTCATCGAAGACACCCAGCAAAAAGCGGATCTTCTGCGTTTTCGCCTCAGCGAAGCTGGTTCGTTGAGGTCGAGAGCTCGTGACTGTCAGTAGTGCATGGTGGTTTCTTTGACTGCCATGTGCCATTTACAGACGGGAATCTTGTTTCAAGACTCTTGCTCATATCAACTAGGACATGGTACAAGTATGGTTGCCTCTTCTAATCTCCAGAAAGCTCAGCTTGAAATCAATACATGAATCGGTGCCACGATCAAACCATTGCTGCCTCCCAAGGCACAATGGCAGAAGACATCAAGATGCACACCGCCAGCAATGGAGATACCGGCAGTCCTTAACGGCTGAATCCCTTAATCTCAGCAACTTTACATCCCCCAAGGGGCCCCAACCTCCAACTTCAGTTCAAATCACGCTCACTTTCGATGTCGGATTCATTCAAACTCTTCTTCTCAGTATTTCCAAATCTCAAAGAAATGGAATGAAATGGAGCACTTACGCACTTTAAATATCTTTAAATAAAGGGAGCAGAGGATGCGATGCGCTCCAAGCAACTCACTTTCTCATAGTCGCTGGGCGCTTTGGTGACGTTCACTTTGGCGAAACTCACGGGGTCAAAGAGCTTCACAAATTCCATGGCGCGCATCAATGGAATCGATAAGATACGCTGGGCATCAAAGGCATTGAAGAACCTCACGATGGGGCGAAACTGGGGCGAAATATGAAGAATATGGAAGAATACTACCCTCTGGTAATTTAACATAGCTATGGAAAATCACCATGATTAATGGGAAAATCCACTATAAATGGTCATTGCTATGTTAGTCATTACCGGAGGGTAAAGAATGAAAAGATGTCATCTCAATGTCGCTTCTGCAGCTCAGGGGCTGCGGGGCTTTTCCTGTCCACTGCCCCATGGCCTGCCACTTGTTGTAGATGGCCACCCAATGCGACAAAGGTCTGGCGCCATCATGGTGAAGTGCGGAAATTCAAAGATTTCAAAGGCCACAGGTTGAAATCAATGAAAAACACGTCGATATGATCGATATTCGATGTCCAAAAAGATTGGAGAACCCCCGCAATGTTTTGCATGGGTTTTTCGGAAAATGATCAGCTTCACCATCATAAACCATGCAATTCGCACGGTGAAATCACCGTGTTTTTTTTCTCGCGCCTCAGCGCCATGGTCCTGCAGGCTTGGGGTACTGGCAGCGTGAGAACGCGATCCCAAAACTCGGGCATCCAATCGAAGGAATGCTCCTGCGCCAATGACGCCAATGGCTGGATTTCTCGGAACTTTTCCCAAAAAAAAACTAACAACTCCAATGGTCAAGTGATAAGATTTTCCCAACATCTGGTGATTAAACGGATAAAACCGCCATTTTCAGACAGACCCGTAGATGTTTTGACCAGGAAACCATGGTTCCATCCGTGCCGAGAAGCCACAAAAACATGAAACCACAGCCAGAGTGGTTCCTTCCAGTCTCTGTTTCCATCCAAGTTGGAAGTTTTTTCATCCATGCCAAACATGGGGAAAAAGAAAAAACAGGATTAGAAACCAGATAAATCCCGAATTTCCATGGAATTTCCATGGAATTTCCATGGAATTGTTGGCCCCAAAATACCAAGAATTGTGAGAAAAATTCCGCGCGGCGTCCCCAAGGGACGCCCCGCTTAGAAGTGGGTCTGTCTTCCATTGACTTGACCTTGAAATCGCATCTCATTGACTCATGATATCCAACGTTGCCCTATGTAGTGTCTATTTGGGGGTTCCTAATATAAAGGTACCCTTTTCGCGAGCTTACGATGGTTTCATGGAAAATCCATCGAATCTATAAATGGTAACTGGGGGTACCCCTATGACAAAACGGAAACCACCATAGAGGTACCTCACAGCCATTGTCGATATCCAAACATCAAACATCCAAAGGGGACCATGGGAAAAAGCGAAAAACCTCCTCGTGAATGGCTTCTGCCAGCTCTTCCATGGAAAGGTTCACGAAGGACAGTTGTCGTTTCAGCCCTTCAGGCCTGGCGTCAAAAGGATCATGCTGTGGTTGTACTCTCGAGGATTCGAGTAGTACATTGTATAGATATGTATAGATTCTAGGTAAAGATAATCTAAAAAGGAGCCACAAAAAACACAATGAACTGTTGTTTGCCCCCGAGTTCTAGGTAGTTCTTGCACATTTACGACAAATGCAGGAACCACAGCTAGTCAGGTTGGAAAGCCACCTCAACGACGTGGCAGCAATGACGGTGGTCCGCTTTGTCTTGGAACTGTTCCTCCTCTCCGACCTCTCCTCTTCCTGAACGCGGCACCCGGGCTGTTGTTCACGCAGGCGTCCCAACATATTTCCTCTTCGTTCGCATCACCCACATGGAAAGCCAAACCATCCAAAGCCCTATCAGCCCTATCAGCCCTATCACCAAAATTTGGTGACGTTGAACTCCAAACTGGAAATACCTTTGGGCCTTTCAAACTGATGAAGCAAGCGGATGTCAGAACCTGAGAAGGTTCTGACATGGAAGGCACAAAAAGGGAACTGAGACCATGGAAATCGTGCAGAATTCCATAGCTCTGTAAGATCCATGAAAAAAGTGGAGGTTTCCTTAAAATGGGGGTAACTCCAAATCATCCATGTTTTTCTGGATTTTTTTGGGGATTCTCCATTGCGAACCATGCATTTTGGGGTACCCCCTCCCGTGGTCAATTTCCAGCGGCAAAGCCAGTCGTCTTGGATCGCTGCAAGGGATTTCGCTGCACCTCCTCTCATGGCACCAGCCATTGAGAATTGGAAAAATATGGAAAAATATGGAAAAATCTGGAAAAATCCTGTTGGTTAGTTAAATAGCCCATCAAAATACCATTGGATTCCATGGAAAAATCTGGAAAAATCCAATTTTTCATGGATTTGAATGGAAAAAAATCATGGCCCTTGATATCCATATTATCCATTGGATACCACTGGGAAGACCATCAATTTTTTTCCACGATGAAAATCATTGGGATAATCATTCCGAGGGTTTTTCAGTTTCATTTGGAGTTCACAAAATGTTGAAAAACCAAGGCATGATGGTTGTACATGGTTGTACTGTCCACGGGAATCTTATTGAATGAATTGAATGGTGAAAGACTGAAACCCACCACCTTTCTGATATTGGCTACTCCATGTCGCCCCGAGTGTCCTGCGAGGATGTGGTCGCTTTCATGTACTTTGAGCTCCGAACAGAAGGTGTCACAGGTGGAGACATAGATGATTCAGTAGACCCGTCGTCCTACACCACATCTTCATCAGAACTGCAAAACATCCCAGAACATCCCAGAACATCCCAGAACATCCAAACATCATAGGATGATCCCATGAAAATAACTCGCTTCTAACCTGGTAACCCCAACCACTAGTCGTCACATCCCGTCACATCCCGTGGGATCCAAGTAGGATCATCCAGCTGTCCAGAAAGGATTGCGCTTTCCGAATGAAACGAGGCGTGGAAACAACGGCGGGTAGACGCGGAGTTGCTGCGAACGAAGCTGCGAACGCTGCATCCTCCCAAGGTCCAAAAAGGCATTGATCAAATGTCCAGTGAAAAGCTTTTTAAGGCAACAAATAATGAACGATATTAATGATAAATATGATGTTCCACTTTTTGTGAAACAGAAACACCAAGAAAACTCCCCCTTGACTTTTTCCCCTTGACTATCTTATATCCCCATTCTTGCGATCACCTGGGATGTCTTCTGCCGTGAGGGAGATGAGGGAGACGAAGGATCCCGAGTTGAGGCCTCCGTTGCTGCAGAATTTTCAACTCAAAACAATGGGTCCAAGTTTCTAAGATATAAAAATGATATAAAAATGCTGGAAGGTGATATAAGATATAAGTTCAAAAAATATAATGACATACTAGTAACTTAGAAGTGTCCAAACAGCGGCGAATTTCGAAAATCTCCCCAAACGTCAGCCTCTGAGTCCTCACACTGAGCAACACGGCCAACCATTGGCAGGCTAGCCATGGTCGGCATGGGAAGAACTTCGGCAGGTGGGTCACCCCGATGTGAATGGAAGATAGCCATGGAAGGTAGCTATTGGCCATGGATGGGACCACAATATCCCAATTTTTCGGATGCTTTGTTGCTACCCCCATCTGGTCATTGTAAGTTAGATGCCTCTAACAACTTTCATTGACACCTTTCATTGCTCTCCAACAACTCGACAACTTTGTCTTGTTGAAAAATTGCTGTGCATCTGCGCCGCTTGCGCTGGTTAAAAAAAAAAAAACTGCAGATTCAAGGACCTGCGGTGTGGTTGTATGGTTCACTCTAACTTCAGATTTGGAAAAAATACTGTGGTATCTGAACTTACTGACATGTACTGACCAATGGCCAGATTTTAACATTTTGTGAAAGACGGAGGGGGTGGAAACAAAGTGAAAAGGCCAGATTTTGACATGATGTTCAAGTTGGAAACTGATGAAAGGCAGATAGTTTTAATGACATGTTTCAAAATCGAAAATTGGACGGACACTGAATGTCAATGTTTATGAATGTCTGATCCAAAATCCAGTTCCCCAAACAAACAACAAGTCATTTGATGCACAAAATAATGACATGTTAATATAATCATCATCAAATCACAGAACGGAATATATGCTTGAAGTAAATATAATATAGTAACGTATAGTAGCATATAGTCAATATATGATTAAAAAGATATAATATATATATATATATACTCTCTATCTATCTGTATTCATA